TCCTTTCCTTCCCCTCTTCGCTCTGTGCCAGTGCGGTTGTCATAGTGTCGCTGTACAGGCTGGTATTGAATGAATGTGGTCGCACTCAGAGGCCTAATCAGGTGCTCTTATCAGCGCGGAGCCAGCTGTCACAAGACGTTAGGAGAAATGAAGCGTTACCGTGGAAATATTCAGGCCAAATTCCTGTCAATTCAGTCACAGCGGTTTATACCAGACAGACAGTGGGTTCTAAAGCGCCACAGAGCCAAGGACAAAGGCGTACAGAGGATGAGGAGATTTCATTGCAGGAGGGTGGACACTATTGAGCTGTTAAAGGTATTTCCAGCAAGGCCTGATGATGAAACCTGACACCAGCGCTGAAATCACTGCGCACACCAGTGAACAACCACCTCTGGCTCCTGGCTCCTACTGTGGAGAATATAGGACTGCAGCTATAGGGCACTGATTAGTAGACCATTTGTCAGCAATTTTATTACAGATTGAAGACTTCTGGACTGAGCAAATGTACAAATATTCAGAGTAGATGTGGAAGAGATTTCGAAAAACTGATAATATTGCATTGTATTGTTGTTGGAGATCTACAACATTTGATTATTGGCTATATTGCTATATTGTTAAGCAGTGTTTCCCATACAGTGCTTAGTGTAATCTCCAAATGTCTTAAGTGTTATTTCTGTCCTTTTGTGATTTACTTTCATGCCCCATTTGCATTTTGTGACTTGAACCTCAACCAACACATTAAAGGGACTGTTTGGAATTTTGGACATAGGGCTTCATTTTCTAGTGAGCCAGAGTGCTGTAGACGTGTGGAGACACTTTTTGAAATAATCCATCCAGTTCTTGTATTTGTAGAGGTTGCTGGTGCTAGGCTAGTGCATGTCAATGGTCATAGTTGATCTGCCACTAAAAACACCCACTTACCCATTCCACAAAGCACCTGAAGCAAAACGATTATAACATCAGACTGTTGATGTGAATGTCTGTGTCGACAGAATAACTGAAGGACTGATATCACCTAGCACCAATGTTGTACCTGATCACGTTCATGAACACGATCATATTTTGGGCAAACGTGAACTGAATGGACTGTATTACTGCCTGATGAATGAACTGGGAACGCGTTCATTCTGGTGTCTGTAAACAGCATGCACTTCTATTCACCTTTGTTCAACAGGGTGCCAGATTTCTTTAGTGTTCCAGGCGAAAACCCGGCTAAACACACCGTAAAGAGCCCTTACTATTTAACAGAAAAACACTCAATCTGGCAACAGCCACCACTGTTGCATCGCCGCATGCGTCATCGAAACAAGATAAAACACTTGGCTCTTCTGCGCATGGCTCCTGCAGAGAGCCGCTGTCCTGTCTGTAGACCAGTTTGATCTCATCATATTGGACAATATGCTGATGCCGTGTGTTTGTGTTCTGACCGTAGCCTCTTATTATAGTTATTGTAGTTTTGTTGACGTTGCGGTAAGTGGTGGATCAGGTTGTGCTGCTGCATAAATTGCACTTGGCTGTGCGTTGTGCTCTGATATAGTTCATCCAAGTGACCAAAATGACTGTCCTTTTCTAGTATTCGTTATAAAATTATATAGCCTATATATAATACATATATTCACAATATATATTTATGATTTTGGCCTAATAGCTCACAGCAACGTATTGGAAAAAAAATTAAATAAAATTACTGAACTAGTTCATTTTTGGAACTATGAATGAACTATTACCTATAAACAATTATGAACTATGAATGAACTAGTTCATTTTGAAATTTGTGAACTGAACTTTGGATTAGTTCATGTAGAAAATTAACTTTCCTAACACCTCCTAGCACCGATCTTACCGGCAAAGTATAATTCCGCTGCTGCTGAGAAAATAGTCCCTCAACATGCGACGATTCATGCAGTGCAGGGTTAGTTTTACACAGATATTCACATGGAGAGTCTGGAGTAGTAATAGATTTGCTTCAGGTGTTTTGTGGAGTGGGTAAGACTGTTTTTAGTGGCAGACCAACTATGGCCATTGACATGTACTTGCCTAGCACCAGTGACCTCTGCAAATCCAAGGACTGGATGGAATATTTCAACAACTGTCTCCACATGTCTCCAACACTTTGGCTCACTAGGAAATGAGGCCCTATGTCCAAAATTCTGAACTGTTCCTTTAACAGTCATATTCCTGATACATTGTTTAAATATTGCCTGAGTAATGTTATCAGGATAATGCAAAAAAGATATCAAGATATTCATTTTTGTAAATACACTAGTTATCAAGTCATTTTTGACAAAATATATTCAACCGATATGGGTTTTTTCATTGGTGATGCTGATACCAATTGGTTGGAACCCAGAAAAATCTATAGCAGATAAGTCGATACTTTTGGGCTGATATGTAGGGCCAATTTAGATTATTTTCCCCAAATCATATAATTTAAATTCACTGCAAAGTTATCCTCAAACCTTAGAACAGAAACCCTTACAGAAAAATGTAAAAATGGGTAAGGTGCAAACCCGAGGCACTCCGACTGAGTATATTAAGTCCTTTATTACATGAGGAGTCTTTTAAAAAAGTACATTTATTAATATGGGCACAGTGATTGCAGGCACCGCATTGAAATGTACCACCTGGTTTAGGGTAGAATTTTTTATTTTCTGCTGGTACTCTTCGCACAGCAAATGATGGAGGGTCAGAGAAAATAGATGCCAGTGACTGATCGCTTATAAGAATGTTCCAGTTTTTCTTTATGACGTTTTTGATGGCATATGTAAGGTTGCTGTGCCTTATCGAGACAAATAACTTGTTTTCAGCTGTGGTTTTAGGACTCTTTTTGAGTAACTGTGTCCTTTCCAAAGATTTTGCTTTTGCTGCAGCCCGGTTCAAGGTGCCTTTTCCATAGCCTCTGCATTGAAATTTTTCATACATGTCTTTAGATTGGGTTTCAAACTCTGTTTCAGAATCACAAATTCTTTTTAATCTCTAGACTAAAAAGAATTTGTGATAAAGAATGATATTCTTTTTAGTATCTCTTAAAGACCACTGTCTTAACCATCGTAGAGCACCTGTACTGTTATTTTTTTTTACTCTTTTAAGACCCAGTGACGCACTCTACCTCTCTTGCTTTATCTTATCCACAAACCTGTTTTACCATAAATTTATGTTAAAATCCAAGCTTTTTGCATATTCTTTAGGTAGCTGGTTAGCTAAAGGCTAAAAAGTGCAAATATAAATATATATCAGTATATCTCTATTTAATGTAGTCATATATTATAGTCCAGATAATGAGTGTCAGTTATTAAATTCAATAGTCAGTTCTTGAAGCAAAACTTGTATTCTGTTCTGAAATTCCATGTTGAATTTGTTATTGTAATGTAATCAGTCTAGAGTTTTAGGAATGAACAAATCATTTAAACTTGAATATCAGGTTGCGACATAATAAAATAATAAAAAGGGGTCAAGTGTTCATACTTTGTGCATGCAAGCCAAAGCCTGCCAGTGTTTATTAAAGGGCCCGTATTACGCTGTTTTCTGATCTATGTTATTGTTATAATATAATGTTCTCTCATCAAAAACATATTTGGAGTTGCCTTTTGCTTCATTTACACATGTTTAAAACACAAATCCTGTACATTTAGGCTGGCAACCTTGTGATTTCAGGAGGTTTGTTTTATGCTCCTTATACTAGAATCATTTGGATAATTTCAGCCCTGGAATTGCTAAACTTGAAAATTACAGTTTTGTGACATCACAAGGTAGAACAGAGCATTTTGAGCTTTGGAGATTATTGACTAATAATAAACATAATAATAATAAAGGGTTACTCAAATGTTTTTTCATACTATGTTTTCATGAGTATCTTTTCCAAACTATTAAAGTAAAAACCAAAAGCTGAGGGGAGTGACCCGAGTCTTTGGCAAAATTAGACTCTTGTTTCTTTAAGATGGAGTAGATTACACAAGAGGCCCGGGCTTGCATATGCACTCACTGAGCTCCATTACATTTGTGTGTTAATGTTTACCCAACAGCCCCCTCAGATCTGTCCTCAGAATCCTTGGACTTCCCCTCCTCCTCCCCGCTCGCACGGTTCACCTTGGACCTAAATTAGAAACATCATTAATCTGGAGAAATGGTTATCAAGGGGGGTGGGCGATGTTTCTAAATAAATCATATCACTTGATGTCTTTTAAAGCCTGAATTACAATTTTTTACAATTTGATCACTATTTGATCTCTGTAGATATAGCCTCCTTCCTCCTTTCCTTGTTGTTTTTATGTACATAAACCACCACTGGGTTCGTTCAAAACACATCTGCGGTTGAATTGTGTTTACGATGAACACACTATTAGCAAAGCAGTCTTGTTGCTAATGACTTTATTTATTTATTCAATCCCACTGCTGACATCAGAGGATACTCCATTGTCTAAATACAGCAATGCAAATGCAGGTGTAGTTTTGAAAGTGTGTTTGCCAAATGTACACATCATTTATATTGGAAAATATAAAATTCTTTAGCTGTTTAGTTTAATTTAATGATTAGTCAAATTCAGTGATGTACTTGTCTTTGTTTTTCTGCATAAATTTTAAAAAATAAAATAAAATTGATTTTGCATGAACTCCCCCTGCAGGTGTAGTCTTGTGGGTGCAGTTTGGGTTAGATACATAGAGATACCATAGTTTTGATAGTTTTTTTGTTTGTTTGTTTGTTTGTTTATCTGTTTTTAACACCATATTGTGCTTCCTGTAGCCTCAACACGTTTTTTTAGTGCAGTGCTTTGATTCTTCACCATGTCCACAGCCAAAGCTGGTCTACAGAACTACTGTTACTAAAGCTCAGCTTCTGTCTCTGATTGGACTTTATATTACTTCTACTACATCTACTGTTGCACTGAATTGTGGTGTCTGTGTGACACATAATTTATTTTTTTTATGTAAACATAAAAATGACAAACTATGTAGTGCTAATGTAGTTTAGTCTATGTAATGTTTGTGTTTTGTGTTTGCAGCGGAGGGTGTGCCTCAGGTGTATTACTTCGGCCCATGTGGGAAATACAATGCCATGGTGCTGGAGCTGCTGGGCCCCAGTCTGGAGGACCTGTTTGACCTCTGTGACCGGACCTTTTCACTCAAGACGGTCCTGATGATAGCTATTCAGCTGGTGAGTAGAGTCTCTAGTCTGGCTTAAAATGTATCTGTAGCTCTCTGTCAGTGTGCTGTCCTTCTCTCTGTCAAGGACACACAGGCTGTGTTGGAACCTTCAGAGAACAGTAAATCTTCAGCTGTAGGACACACGGTTTAAACCTTATTTGTTATTGTTCCATTCTCAATGTCCTGTTTCTTTATTTACAATATTAATTTGCTGAATACTAACCAATACTAAAACTGTCAAAATTAGATACTCATTTGAGGAGTTATCAATACTAAAAAAAAAAGTCCCTTTCACGGGTCAGAAATCAACCTTTCCTGAATAGCTTTAGAATGACCTTGAGCTGTATCAGAACAAGTATAAGAGCACATAGACTACTATACGCCCATGAACCACTAGGGAACCTACCTGGACCACTGAAGTATTACACAGATATAAGGCCACGTGGTAATATAAAAGAAAGTATTATGATTTAATGTTGAAAATCACGTTTTATTGTTTAAATATACTGTTTTTTATTATTACCGTGGTATCAAAATCTGTACTGAGTAATGAGTATATTCTTTAGTATAGAGATTGAATTTGACATTTTATTATCATGACAACACTATTGGGCCCCACGTTGTAACACAGACTTACTTTTCCTTGTTGTGTTGTCTCGTTGTAGCTTTCTCGAATGGAGTATGTGCACTCTAAGAATCTCATCTACCGAGATGTAAAACCAGAAAACTTTCTGATTGGAAGACAAGGGAACAAAAAGGAACACATCATTCACATCATTGACTTTGGCCTGGCCAAAGAATACATCGACCCAGAGACCAAAAAACACATTCCATACAGAGAGCATAAGAGTCTGACCGGCACTGCCCGATACATGTCCATCAACACACACCTGGGGAAAGGTATGAAACAACATGTGTGCACTTGGTGTTCTTTTCAGTGAGTTTGATTGTTTAAGCTTGCCATGATAAATACTATATTGACTTCTCGTTCAATATATTTTTGAAGGAAGAATAATTTTTAGGGCTCAGTATTTATTGTTGGTACTTTTTCTTTGTTGCATTGAATAAATCACTTCTATGACTCATAGATACAAAATAACTAGTGTTTTATTTTCCTATTTATTTATTGCAGTTTGTGTTTTTAGCCATATTATACATTTAGAATATTTTTGGGAGATGATTCTGTTTTCATTGTTATTGTGTCAGTGGCATGATTTAGTTTCAATATTATTGTTTATTATATATTTTCTTTAAAAAATATATCGGTCTTCAAAATTGTGACAGACCTGTCCCTGATTTCTGTTGTAGAGCAAAGTCGGCGTGATGACCTGGAGGCTTTGGGACATATGTTCATGTACTTCCTACGAGGGAGTCTGCCCTGGCAGGGACTCAAGGTGTGTTACTATCACTGTGGACTCTCATTTTTAAATGGAAGTCCTAAGTCCCTGGGGTTGGCAAATGACATCTCTTTAAATAAAATGAGTACACCTTTAACCCTTCTTATTCAGACTTTGGAGGAAGAAACTGGGTTATTTTTTATATTAAAAGCAAGGATTAAAAGGACAGGTAATTTTATTTTTATAAAATTACATAGAAAATCACAGATCCATATATGAAAAAAAGATTGAATGTTTTGCCATATGACCCAAGTCCTGCTTCTTGGTGTTGAAATTAGAAAGACCTCTAGTATCAGTGGTGCTGTCTTTCCATAAATCATTACCAGCCTACACAGGCTTCATTAGTGGGATAGATGATTCATGCTGATTTGTAACAAACAAATATGTGTTTTATTTTTACTGAGATGATCTCCTCTTATCATCTGTTCTTTAGGCTGACACACTGAAAGAACGATACCAAAAGATCGGAGACACAAAACGAAACACTCCTATTGAAGTGCTGTGTGAAAACTTCCCAGGTATGTCAGAGTTAAGTCATCAATAAAACATATGCACTGCATCGTCTTAACCTACTTTTATATGTTGTGTTTCCTCAGAGGAGATGGCCACATATCTGCGGTATGTGCGGAGACTGGACTTCTTTGAGAAGCCGGACTATGAGTATCTGAGGACGCTTTTCACTGAGCTCTTTGAGAGGAAAGGATACACGTTTGACTACACCTACGACTGGGTCGGTCGCCAGATTGTAAGTCACCTCAGTCAGCATGGGGACTGGGGCTAACTAGGGCCAGACTAAAGTTATTTAAAATCAAGATTATATAAGATTTTTTTTTTCTCTCTCAGCAAAATGCAGAAAGTATTAAAAATATTCAGATGGATGGGCCAGTGGCTGGATCAGTAATGGGCACAGAGTTTCTAGTATAGGTTTGCCCTCTCCAGTAATAAACTTTTTCTGGCAAGAAGGGCAGCCAACATAAAAATCTGCATCTTATGTTGAAATTGTATTCATCAAATGAGCACAAAAAACTTCCAAACATCTATCAGCAAATAGTCCGGCATATTGGGCAGTGTGTATAGCTCTAGTTCTATCCCTCACACAGTCCTGTCCTGTTGTGTTCCAGCCTACTCCGGTTGGCTCTGTCCACATCGACTCCGGAGCATCGGCCATCACACGAGAGACCCACAGAGACAGACCCTCCCAGCACCAGCCTGTTCGAAATCAGGTATACAAACAAATCAACTATGAAACAACTACCAGTAACCTGTCAGGATGTATTAAAACAGATTCCATTTTAAAAAAAGAAACCGGTCCGAGAGGTGGAATTTGGTTAAGAGTTCTCAGCCCTTATGTGTGTTTTAGAGACACTGACACAAGCAAATAGACAGGAGGATTGGATCAGGAATATTATATTATTATAAAGTTTTAAGATTTTGAGAAAAAGTTGCAGATGCTAGATTGAGATTATTTAAAGTGGGACTAAACTTCATCCATCTCGACAAAGACCTGATCCCTTAGGTCTTCATTGGAGTCATTCAGGGTCAAAGTATGAAAATCCCAAAGAATTAAGACAAATTAAGAAACAATCACATTAGGCTTTGTGTAAATGTCTGGACCAACCAAGATGTGGCAAGTGTGTGATGCCACAGTAGTAAAGTTTTAGGGATTAAACATAGCTGGCAGTAAACACTCACTGTTTTAAGATAGGTACTCACTGCACCATGTTTGTTTTTTGTTTTTTTTATCTTATAAGAATGTTGGGTGTCAGTCAAAGACCTATGACCCACGCTTTTAACTTCAACTCAAACTTTCTCCATGATCAAGATAATTTGTTGCAGGCAGTCAAAATCGTGCAGTTGTTTAGTTTGTTTAATTGGTACAAAATTGCCAAAAATTAATCAGGAAAGGTTGGTAATGCTTGCTAATATAAAAAAAAAAAAAAAAAAAAAAGCAAATTTAATGTTTTGTCCCACTTTAAATATACTTGATTAGTAGGACAGGATACTTGGAAGAGAAATTAACAGTACATAAACAATAATTCATAGTTTGAGGCTGAAATCTCCTACAATATTTTCCATTATCCCAAAAAGAAAAAAGCTTAATTCTTCTGAACAATATTTTCAATAATCTCAGATCATAGACAATAAATGAGACGAACAAAAATGTTTTTTATGAACCTTCCTACGCTATTTTATTTCTGATGGAATGTGTGTGAGTGAATGAGCACAGATCTGCGCTTACATGTACGGGGGCTTCATGCTTGGTTCAGTAATGACTCTTCTGGCTTAAGCCTTGATTTTAATTTTAATTTGACTTTTTTGATTTGACTTTTTTGTTCTTAATTTCTCATGCTGCTTTGCATGGTCCATGACACTGCGCTCCCAACACTCCATCTTTTCCTAACCACTCTCTAATCACTCCTCGCTTCTCCTGCTCCTCTCTCTCCCCTCCTCTTTCCCTCCTCCTCCTGCTCCTCCCTGTTTTTGCTCCTCACTCCCTTCTTCTGGTCCCTCACTCCTTTCTCCTGCTCCTCACTCTCTCCTCCTTCTCCTCTTCCTCATTCCCTCTACTCCTCACTCACTCCCTCCCCCTCCTTCCTCTTCCTCCTCACTCCCTCCTCCTCCTGCTCCTCTCTCCTCCTCCTTTCTCTTCCTTTTCACTCCCTCCTCCTGCTCCTTTCCACCTCCTCCTCACTCCCTCCTCCTCCTCACACCCTCCTGACCGCGAGCAGACGGCGTCCTCTGAGCGGCGAGGGGCTTGGGAGGTGCAGCCATCGCGACAGGCCAACTCCTCGTACCTCAGCTCCCACCTGGCAGCAGACAGGCACGGGGGCTCAGTGCAGGTATCCACCCTCCCCTCTCTGCCCGGGGCACAGGGTCAGATCTGTCTGAGTGTGGCAAACCAAAGCGGGAAGGGCTTGAGCGATGGATCTTCATCTTTGCTTTCAGAATTAAATGACCCATTCATTAAAGAGGGCGTATTATGCAAAATCATTATTATATATTTTTTCCTTTTTTTCTAGTTTTCTACCATGTTATAACGCTGTTCCTACACATGCCTGAAGAGATTTTAAATGTCATCCATGCATCTTTCAGTAATTTGGTGGTCTCTCCTAGGGACTTTCCTCCTTATGGTTAGCTGTAAGATTCTGTCCAAAGCTCAGCCCACAAGCCTACATCATCCATGCTCCCCAGTGGCAAACCTGATGTGATATGTAGTAGCATTCATATAAAAAGATCACTATAAAAGGTAACATGGTGATCTAAATATTAGGTGTTAGCAGTTAATATCCCATAAAAGTAAAATACCTCCTCTTTAATCCACTTCTGGAACATAAATCACAAACTTTCTATATTTCTTATTTGGAGACTTGATTGAAGTCTCAAAAAACAAAAAGAACAAAACATCTCATTGTGGTTTAATGTTTTCTATTGTTTTCAAACCAGCATAACCACTGTAACAGAATACTTACTGAAATTTGTTGTTGTGTTGTATTTAAAACGTGGGGAAGACCAGACACAACAGTTTTGGACCTGCTTGTTTTCCCAAATAACAGCTTGAAGTTGGACATAATGCGGCTTAAAAGTCTCGCCCACTTCGAAGCTCTCAGAGGTTCTGGAACAAATTTCCTATTTATTCCTATTTTCCTACAGGCTTTTGAAATTTAGAAAAAAAAACCTCATATGTTTCTTTAAACTCTATCTAGCTATTAAAACAAAGATGTTCATTTTGTCTTCTTATCTACTTCAACTTCTTGGGTTCTTTTTAAAGACAATACAGTAACGTGTATTTACCTTGTTGTTTGGGCTGCTCGCTGCAAGGCATCTTGAGACAGGTCTTCTGAAGATGGCTTGCAGCGAGCAGCCGAAACATGTCAACAAGGTAAATACACTTTACTGCATTGTCTTTAAAAAGAACCCAAGAAGTCTATCTAGTTATGTCATCTGTCCTTAGCAACTAATGTGTTTGCTAACTTTTAAGTTTTCATTTTTTATTTTGGACTAAAACAAACTTGGTTCTTGAAAAGGGTTCAGAAACAGAAGGGAGAGCAAAGGGAGGATGGAGCTTTTGTCAAAAACAAAACTGAAACTTATTAAACTTGTAAATAGGTTGTTTTTGGTGAATGTAAGATTTTCAAAACAATAAAAGGTAACATTGTGATCTAAATATGTTATGTGTTAGCAATTAATACCACCATAGAAGTGTAATACCTCCTTTTTAATGAAAATTCTTGATCTTGCGGTCATTAGTTACCACATAGCAATTTTTTTTCTAAAGTCTATGGGAAAAATGAATGGAAAATTTACTTCTGTGGGGGGTGGTCACTGTTGAACTTCATTCACAAAACTCTACCACACTGACCAACCTGCTGCACAGCTCACATGCCCCCTGCAGGAACCCCCAGGACAGATCTGCCCGTGTCCCCCGCCCCCCCTCCGAGCCTGGCCGGTATAGTGCTGCTCACATGTGCATGTCACCTGGTGCCCGCTCCAGAGGGTACAGTGTGGCTGGGCTTGTACTTTCAGGATCAGAGCACACCTTTTGGCATGGCACAGAGACCTGGTGAACCGCATGCTTTTGTGAACGGCAGTCTGTGTACTCTGCTTTCATGACAGGCCATCTTAACTACATGACACGGAGAAGGCTTTGTTTGCATGGGTGTACAAGAATTCATATTAATTTACATATTTTTAACTAACGTATTTGTTTATTTGTACAGGGAAGACTTCACACCATTCTGTAGGCCAAAACAAATTAATACAGATGGGGGGCAGCTATACTGAAAGTATTTTTGTTGTAATATAGCCAGCAATAGAAAAAATGTGTACATTTACGTTATGGCTATTTCATGATGAAGTAAAATGTAATCAATAGGAAAAAAAAGTGGCATTTGCTCTTCATCTGATTCTGTGGCATCAGTATGAGACTTTGAAAATCACCAGTACTTTATCTTTAAGAGGTTCACATTTGTATATTGGGTATGAGCCAGTTTCAGTGTTTTTGTCATTAAATTATCACGTGTTTGTTGAAATTCCACAGTTCACGACTTTATAAATCGCAGATAAGCCATTGAATGTATTAAAATCCTGATTAATCTTGATCTACCCATGACCACAAAGCCATCTATCTGTAATCTATCTGTGACTTTTGTACATGTTGATGTTCTTTTACTTTAAATTTTTTTTACATGTCTTCGTTTTAATGAATGCACATAATTAAATATTGTACTAGGCATAAGTGGGTAGAGAAAATTGTACTAAAGTAAGTATGACGTTACTTCAAAATAATATTACTGAAGTAGAAGTACAAAGTTGTGGTCTAACAAATTACCCAAACTAGAGTAAAAAGTATTTGGGAAAAGTACTATTCAAGTAAGAGTAACTTAGTAAATGTTTAATTTAAAGTTAATGTAAGTGGAAGTACTTCAAATAAAACTTTAAATAATGCACAAAATCTGGTATTTTAAAAGGACAGACGCAAAAATCAGACTAACAAAATCATATCTGAACGTTCAAATCATTTCATATTGCCAACATAAAGCTTTTGTCACGTGTAGACATACCCCCATGGGAAGAGTAACCACAACTTTAACTCAAGAGTGCCATTACTTCAATAAAAATATTACTGAAGTAAAAGTAAAAATATGCAGCTAGAGAAGAACTCTGCAAAGTACAACAGTTGGGTCTTATTTATTTCATAGACCGGCCTACTTAAGTGTAACCCCATTTTATTGTCAAGTGTCTGAGTGTCAACGTGTATATGATTTCATGAAGTATGTTGTTTTCGACTCCACTCCTAAAGCCTGTTTTCACTCCAGGTGGTGAGTTCAACCAACGGGGAGCTGAATGCGGACGACCCGGCCCACTCGAACGCACCAATCACAGCCCAGACAGAGGTGGAGGTGGTGGATGAGGCCAAGTACGTTTTCTTTGCTCTGTCGTCCCTTTAACTGTGTGCAGTACTCATACTAATATACACCACTGAATACACCTCTGGCACACAACAGCACTTTTAGCCCATTCTTTTTATACCACATATAGACATACAACAATAATTACCCAAAATATAAGCAAATTTCAAACAAATAAAATGCCTTTCAATATAAATTTCTTGGGATGCACTGATTCAGCTACCTATATTGATCATTTTAAGCTGAGGATACCAGATATTATCAGATACCAGGGTAGGAATGGAAAATGGCACTTACTTCCTTAAAACACAGTTAATGTATTACACAAGAGCTGTTACTTGTATTTTGTCCTTCAAATAACTACTGAACAGTAGGGACGGGACAAGATCTTGTGAGACAAAACTATCACAAGAGTGTGCACACATGCTGAAAATGATCTTGTGAGATTTTTTCCCCCATGTTTTAACGTTTGGACTGGGTAAATACCGTATTTTCCGCACCATTAGGTGCTCTGGATTATAAGGCGCACTGTCATAGAATGGTCTATTTTTTAAACTTTTTTCACAAATAAACCGCACCAGACTTTAAATGAAACATAATAGTTAGATGAGTCAATCAGATGTTCACGGTGACTCTGGGCTTTGTTCAGTTGTGGCGTGTAGGGAGGGTGCTGTCTGGGACCAACGGATTGTCGGCGTGTTCGCAGTGACTCAGTTGTTCAGTTGTGTCTAGAAGTGGCACATTGGACTCGCTTTAACGGTTTGTTCCTCCGTTCCGTTCCTCGTGCGCGTGGAGTGATGATTGTGGCTGTGGGTGTTTTTCGCTGCGTGGTCACTGTCTGCTCCGTGTGTGTTTGCGGCTTTGTAGTTTACTGAAGTCATGCTGGGACACCTGAGTGGATTTGTGTATAAGGGTGCTCTGAATTGCGGGGTGCACAGTCGTTTTTTGATGGGGTTGGAGGCTTAAGAGCGCGTCTAATAGCCCGGAAAATACGGTAAATGGAGTTAAGTTCTGGCGAGTTAGATTTTTTGAGAGGCTGTAGTCCCAGAAGGCACTGCTACAATAACAGCAGAAATATAAAATAAAGTGCATCAAAAATTGTGGAGCTAAAATTGAGAACTGGATTTCACAATTTATTTATTAGAAAGAATGTCAAAATCTCGTCTCGTCTCGTTCTCATAGATCCAATCTCGCACCTTGTCTCGTTTTGTGGAAATTGTATCTCGTCCCATCCCTATTGAACAGCTTTATGAATAAAGGTTCAACCATTACAAGACGTTCCAGTCACAAAAACCTACTACTCTAGATAATAGATAATAATACATCCAATTAAAGGCCCAATCATAAACCAATATCCAAACAGGCAAATTTTTCAGTATCAGTGCCAATGTTCGAAACTGTATTCAGTCTCTGTGCATCCCTATTCATTTCCTGAATATAAAAATAACACTTTTATTCTTTTCAATGTAATCATTTCATCTGCTCCAAACCACACGCTTTTACTGACAGAGGACTGGCTGTGTATCTCTCCTTTAAAAAAACAAAAAAAAAACTCAGCTGATCATTGACGATTAGAAATAACGGAATATCAATCTCGATTCAAATGTGATTAATTGCACTGCTTTACTATATATATAAAATACATATTGACAGGTAGGCCACACAGCTAGTTTATTTACATTTTATCTACTACCTTCATCAAAATTAAGTCATAAAGAATGCAAAGAATCATATATCACAATACCTGTGTTGTTTCCTCATCATAAACATACCTGGAGTTTTGTTTTGGAAAAATTAAGCCCTGGAATTGCCATTCTCTACTGAACTAAAGGTAAAAGTTGGCTGTTAACTTTAAAACTACCACTTGGAACAGCATTTTCAACTTTGGAGATGCATACAGACTAATAATAAAGGATTACTGAAACACGTGTGAATGAAACAAACGCAATTCTGGGTATGTTTTTGAGGAGGCGGCAACATTATAACGTGACTTAAAGCTAACAATAGCCACTTTTTCATTGTATAGGAGCTATAACAATGTTTAAAGCAGATCCACATAAATAGGAATCGGCGCATACATGACAAAAAGCATCTAAAATGGTTCTTGTGTACATTCTCTGCTGTGGCCTCTGCTGTCATCCTGCTCCTGTCTCATCGTGTGCTTTTGATACCTGCTGCCTGCCTCTGTGCCTCTCCATTCTCTGCTTTTCTAACATGTGTCTGACTAACCTCTGCTGTGGACTCCTAACAAATGAAGCGTCCATATTACACTATTTTAAAAAAAAATCTATGTTCTAATGTTGTTTCCTCATCACAAACAGACCTGGAGTTGTGTTTCGTTTCATTCACACATGTTTTAACACACAAATCCTGCATATTTAGGCTTAGTTATTATGGAAAATAGTCTTGTGATGTCATGTGGCAATACAGGAAGTGCTCCACAGTGTATTTGAACTCCATACACCTTCAATAGAATCAACAATTTCAGTCGTGGAATTCACCAATATCTACTGAACTAAAGGTAAACTTGAAAACAACCACATCACAACGTGGAACAGAGCATTTTCAGCTTTGGGAATGTAGACTACTAAACCATAGTTGCTCAAATTTGTGTGAATGAAACAAAACACAATCACAGGTATGTTTTTAAGGAGGTTACAACATTCTAACATTTACCCTGTGTGGGTAAATGGAAGCAGCATGTGGACATAAAGAAAAAAAAATCATTATCACGCATGACTTGATTTTTTTACAGTCTTAAAAACAAGTTATTTTTAACATTTAGCAGCCATTCAAAGTTATTCCTCACCTTCTTAACGCAGTCCTAGCATCCTAATAATTAATCGCAATGAGTTTATAAGCACATTTCATGACTTTCAGAGAGTTTTGACGTCACGGTAATTGCCAAAAACTGCTATCATGCTAATAGTAAACAAGCTGTATTTCTTCGTACGCAAATGACAATATGCTTTTAATTAGGTTAGCTGAACCTTTCCTGAATAGCTTTAGAATTAACTTGAGCTGTATCAGACAAGTATAAGAGCACGTAGACTAGTATACACTCATGGATTACACAGATATAAGGCCACATGGCAACATAAAGAAAGTACTACGATTTAATGTTGGAAATCACATTCTATTGTCTAAATAGTGTTTTTATAATCATCATAGTATCAGAATCTGTATTGATTGTAGAGTCTATTCCTTAGTTTGGAAATCAAGTTTGAAATGTTAGCATCGTGACAACATTATACTGGGGTAGGATATAGCACATTTTAAAACTTCTACTTCTTTCGAGCATCATGGATTCCAGAGCATATTACTTTTTACTATTTGTTTGATTAGTTATTGTGAAAAGTGTCATGTGCTTTTTTAAATTAGCCAGGCTGGCGCCACCTAATGCCTCCGCTCAATTTCATTTCTCTCCAGCAACTAGGTCACTAATCAAAATAAAATAGACAGTTCACAAAAACCCCAGAAGTGGAAGTTTGGGCACCAGCCAATCAGCGAAGAGCTGTATATTCAGTGTTGTCAGCAATTCCCGAGTTCGAGGATTTAAAGCCAGAACAAAGAGAATTGGAGAATTTGGTGAATTTTATCAAGGGGAAAGACGTTATTGACCTTTTTCCTACAGGATTTGGGAAAAGCTTAATATACCAGTTAACCCCGTTAGTGGCGCATTACATATGTCAACCAAATAGCAGCGATTGGTTAAATGATAAAAAGTACACGCCTACTGTTGAGCAAATGAATTCCAACGCTGCGAGGTGAGACAGTTTATACAAAGTGAAACAGAGTAAAACCAGCTGATGAATCAGGCTATTTCTAAACTGATGCTCAAATAAATCATTCTATACTAAAGCTGCATGAAAAAAGGCACTTCAGAGGAGAAATATAACCTCAAAAGCTTGACCGCTGTTGTTTTACTGATCCTGATTTGTGTCTCCTGAACAGAACACTTGATTCATTCCGTGTCTGTGATGGCTGCACAGTGTGTGGTGTTAAGAACCAAGCTCTATATTTAACGGCAGCATTTTCAGTCATGAATTCTGTCAGTTGTCAGTTGAAAAGATTAAGTAGACAATACTGTAGTGCCAGGAGCTTGAGGTACAGTTTGGTTGGATAGGTATTTTGCTTTATGATACCTTGCTTTTTCAGCTCAGCCTGTAGGTTAAGCTTTGTCATGCAGCCGTTTTGCAATTTGGACTTGCAATTTCTATAGTATGTCTTGAGATATATATATATATAGATATATATATATATATATAGATATAGAGAGAGATATATAGAGATATATATAGAGAGAGAGAGAGAGAGAGAGAGAGAGAGAGAGAGAGAGAGAGAGAGAGATCATTTTAAAAGAATAACTGTAACTTGAACTTAGCCTTAACCTACACTACACTAGCTGTTATTATTTATTTAGAATTTTTTTCCAATCCAAAAGTCTAACCCTACTTTTTTTTTTTTTTTTTAACAATGACATTTTGACAACAAAAAAAAAACCTAGCTCCTCTGAGTTCCATGAAGCTACCTCTTGATCTCTCTTGTACCTGTGTGTGTTTCTCTTTCTCCTCTGATGACAGCCTTGTTCTTGTGTCTCTTTCACACGATTGTTTGATATGATGATCTGTTCATTTCTCACACGCTCTTTGATAGATGCGCCAATGCAAATCACGTTCCATCTAATTCATATGGTCATTTTCTGTTATTTATATAGAAAGCCATGGATAGGTGTAGTCAACTAAACATTCTATACCTAAACCTTATTATTATGAGCCTCTGTCTTGTGCAACATGTACAATATTAAAAAAAAAAAAAAAAAAAGAAAAGAAGCATTTTAAATATTTTTCAAAACAATCGTCAACTAGTTTTCTCAAAGTCTGCACAAAAAAAAATCTCAAACATCCAGAAATTGTTACATCCTATTCTTAATAAAGAAATGCATGTAAATCTTCACATTACACTTTACTAATATTAAACGCCATAGTGTTCAACATAGTTCTGCGCTCACACTTGCTCTGTGCAGAAATAAGTATCCCTCAAAAACCCATCCATCTCCTGTCCCATGTGCCTCCCATGTCGCGCCCGTGTCCCCTGGCTGTGTGTGCATGTGTGCGGTGGCATGTGTTGTCCGATCCTAGTCCCGCTGTATTAATCTGTCTCTTCTCTTCACTCTCCTCTTGTGCCTCTGTAGCTGCGTGAAAATGCTCAACCTGTGGTGAGTCCCACTGTCAGTCCACCTCAGACTCACAGGATAGGGGGTGGACCAAGCCAGGCAGGAGCTAGGGCACTTCACTGAGGGGACCAACTTAGACGAGGGTTAGGGGGCTTCACTGAGGGGTCAAGCTTAGACAAGGGCTAGGGCACTTCACTGAGGGGATAAACTTAGAAGAGGGCTAGGGCTGTTCGCTTAGGGGACAAACTTAAGCAAGGGCTAGAGCACCTCACTGAGGGGACAAAGCCTGGCAGGGTCGAGGGCACTTCACCGCGGGGACAAACTTAGGCAAGGGCTAGGACTGTTCACTTAGGCCACAAACTTAGGCAAGGGCTAGGACTGTTCACTTAGGGGACAAACTTAGACGAGGGCTAGGGCACCTCACTGAGGGGACAAAGCCTGGCAGGGGCTAGGGCTCTTCACCTAGGGGGCATGGAGTGGACGAAGTTAGGCAGGAACAAACCTTGGGCTAGGACACTTCGCCACCTCCCAGTAAAAATAAATGGTACACCTAAGACACTTGATAGAAAAGACAAACAAGATAAACAAGACAAGAAGAGCATAGTTATCAGAAAGAAGAGAGAGTGGACAAAGCAAAGCAGGGGCTGGAGCAATGCACAGAGGGACAACTATGGGCTAAGACACTTTTAAGAGAGTACAAACCTAGACTCAGCTAGGGTACTTCTCTGAGAGGACAAGAGGCTATCTAGAATAAGGCACTTAAGGATGGACAAACCAGGGGCTAAAATCCTTTACAGAGGAACAAATGTTACTTCTCCGAAGGGGATAATTCTACTTCCTAGTCTAGATATCAGTTATTACTTTGCCTATGGATAGTGAATATTTAGTGCCAAAAAGAAAATAACAGATGTTCCAATCATGTCTATACACCACCAGGTGGAGCCACAGTACTCTTTCTTTGCTTTAGTTATTGTGTAGCAGGAACATGTGTATAAATATGCTTGTAGTTTGTACCCTTGTGTCTTTTATAGATGTGCCCCCACCTAAGCCTAAACATTTGTGTGCAGTATTTATTTACCACATGTTCATTGGTTTTCTCTTCCTTCCCTCCAGGTGCTGCTGTTTCTTCAAGCGAAAGAGGAAGAAGAACTCCCCTCGTCACAAATAATAGTGCGGCCGCTGCTCACAGGCTTTGTGAACCCAGACCCTATGTGGTTCCTGCGTGAGGAGGACTGAGACTGCACAGGCAGAGCTCTAATGGGACCAGCAGTCACACGCCCATGTTCAAGGCACTCATGTCTTATACCAGGAGTCCTTTCACATTTACACTGTCCTGTCCTTCAAAATTTCTGGGATTTGTTTTTTAATATTTTGAAATTTTCCCACAAAAAAATCAATACCGCATCCGATTGCCTTTTTGTTTTTAAAAACATTTCCTGTGGACATTTTTGTTTTTGATTAACCGCCATTTTCTCTTTTTTTTTTTTTTTTTTTTTTTTTTGCCTCCTGTTGCTTACTCACAAAGCCGCAAAGGTCTGACGTTAAACTGAATGTAAACCAAATCAGAGCCACCTTTGGGACTTGGACTAGCTGAACTACGCGAGGTCCGGTTGTCTCGGCTTAAGCCCTCCCAGCAATTCTTCACTTTTTTAGTTTTTAGCTTTGTGACAGGCAACAACCTAACAACATGGGGCTACTCCATGCTATTTATGCTATTTATCTTAATACAATTTCAATACATACACACTGAATGTATGGACAGAAACAGCATTTATGTACTCCGCATGGAAGATGGAAGGAAAATGAACGCAAGGCCAATGTTTGACGTTAAAAATGAGACCAAATCGGACTGCAGATTTGGAAGAAGTCAATCATAGTTGTATTAATATTTGATGGTATGTACTGGCTAAACAAGGGATGTGATAGTGGACACCCCTGTTGGGAGATCACTTACAGCTTGCTACTGTTCAATGCCTTAACCCAAAAAAAAACAAAACAAAAAAAAACAACAAGACTGACTTTCGCAAAACTACAGAATTCACAGTGCAGTTCTGGCACCAAGAAGCCTCAAGTTGTGAAGTTCCTTTCTCCCATTGTTCAAGGTAATGTATTGCGAGATGCCAAATGAAAGCTATTTAAGATGTGACTGTGGCGTCTCTGCTCAAGCGAAGTTTAGCATGTCTGTACCATTTTAGCTGTTTTTGTTTTCGGAGGACTGCCTTGAACCCAAACCCTTATTTCGACACGTCACCTTGCCTCCAAACATAGTGAATGACATTTATTTTTTTATTTGGTGTTATAATGTGAATCGTCTTGAATGCAATTATATGTTCCATTCCAAATAGCCATTTTTGTTTTCGTTCTGTTCCAGTGGAAAAGACTGCACTACGTTGTTGACTGAAGCTTTCCCCGTCAAAGCTAATTCTATGTGCGTTACTTTATGTAGCTGCCTCGTATGGTCGGCCTTTATCGCGGTACGGTGGCCCCGAGCGGACAAGTCGTGGAACCAAAAGTCTTGATTTAATCTCAAACAAAAACAAAAATGAATAGTGAAGGCTTTTTTTTCTTAATTTTAAGTAGCTATTATGGTTTGATTATACTTAAAGATGCATTTTTCAATTTTTTTGCGTTTTTTTGTTTTGTTATATAGTGTTTTTTTGTTTTGTTTTTTGCTATTTTTATTTTCCCTCTTTGTTACATTTTATTTAGTTTTAACATTTAGTTTGATTTACTAAGAATTTTGAACGCCTTGATCTACTTGTCTGCATGACTGTGATTTTATGTTTTGGAATATCATTTTTGTGCGCTGTGTTTTGCTGCTGTGACTTGTCCTTGAGGGCCACCGTACATCTCTCTCAAATATTTGATTTAGTGCCATTACATAAACCTGTTGCATGAACGCAGTCAGGTCCGCAGTGAATTTGAGGATCTTCTCTATTGACCCCAGCCTAACACTGTAAAACTTTGTATTCCGCATTCTTCTAAGTTATTGTGTTATTACTTGAATATAAAAATCCATCAGGGGGAACCTTTTTATTGGTTTTCTCTTATGTTTGGCATCCATAACAATCAAAGCAACTAAAGGATCGGAGTGGGATCTCGGGGAAAGAAGGCTGTTTGAATGACAGATATTCTCGTCTCTGTGCCGAGGTGCTTTTAAGTTTGTTTGCATGGCCTTCCCAGACTAAATCAAAAAGTATTAACGTGCAATGAGATGGATATCAAGACAAAATGGCTGCCGATGCTCCCCTGAATGCCCACAGCGCCGTTGCCCAGACTAGCCCGCGCCTTTACCCGTGCTACCGACAAATAATGCCCATTCTCCATCATTGGAACGTTTGTTTATTTTAAAGGGATTGTACTGTGATTTCCCCGTGGTATTTTTTTGATGAGGGACAAATGACGTACTTTTGACAGCACGTAACTTTGAGCGCACACCCAGTATGCATGCATCACGAATTTCGGACTTCCGGTCATCGCACAATGCATACTGGGAAGGATTTTCCAAAAAAGTATAATCAAACCACCATGTTTGATTTCCCAGTGGGATGTGTCTATTGACAAAGCCAGTCTTTGAACCATATCGCTGTTGTTTCTGGTTCTGATATTGTCAAATATTAGTTTTGGGATTGGGACATTGTAATTGTGTGGTTGTTGGATGTAAAAATAGTGAAAGACGAAAGCAATGGGCAGTACTGATACACAGGAAGGATGAAAAAGGAAACCTTTGGCTGCCTAAATCATCCTGAGTTTGCAGTGAACATTTTGTATGTGGAGCGCCATCAAAACAAAACCCCTATCCCTCGCTCAGCCTTGGTTACGAATTTAAAAAGTTAACGCCAAAGCGAAAGGCTCCAGCTGTTTGCCAAGAAACACCTTCCACTGCAAAGAGACCAAGACGTGATGTTGCTGTAAAGCCACAAGAACAAGAAAGTGCTCGTTCGGCCTGTTTGTCTTCTGTACCTCTCGCTTAACAAACGGGATCCCACTTTGATGGTGCTCCACATACAAAATGTTCACTGCAAACTCGGGATGATTTAGGTTTCCTTTTTGGTCCTTCCTGTGGATCAATCCTGCCCATCGCCTTCGCCTTTCACTATTTTTCAATTCCGTTGGGAAGGGAAACAGTTTGAACAGAGGTTTGCAGTCACACACATCTGATTACCTTTTGTATTTATGGAGTTCACTTCCGAAGCCCATTTCTTGAGCCGTTAGAACATCCAACAACCACACAATTACAGTGTCTAAAATGAAAATATGAGGATATCAGAACCAGAAACAAACGCGATATGTTTCAAAAGACAAGAAAAGATTGGCTTTGTCAATAGACGCATCCCACTGGGAAACCAAACATGGCGGTTTGATGCTCACTTTTTCGGAAAATCCTTCCTAGTATGTATTGTGCAATGACCGGAAGTCCAAAATTCATGATGCATCTATTGAAGAAAATAAAAATCACAGGATTGTCATGTACAGTATTGTATAAGTTTCGTCCGATATGGATTTTTGTTCTGAGTCGATACCAATATCTGATATTTGCCTTGCTGTTGCGGCCGTTAACTGAAATTTGCCAATATTACAGTTTATAAAATTAACAAAATGCTGAAAGAGAAAATCTCATGCACTGAGGACAAACTGGAAATGATGCGATATATCGTATCGATACCGATATATGGGTCAGTCTATCGCCAATATTGCCGATAACCCATACACAACCCCTAGTATTTTACCACAATTTTAACTGTTCCTTCCTTCTATCAGGTGAATTGGTTTGTTAAATTGGCCATAGTGATAAAGTTGAACATTTAATTAGTTGTTTTTTATTCTAATTTGCTTACATATTTTTTTAGTTTTTTTTTTATGTGTACATGTAGAATCTGCTCAACAAGTATCCCAATTTGACCGAAAAGTTAACTCGAGCAATCTGGCCAGTTTTAACATGTCTCAAAACTGAGTGTGCGCAAACTACTCACTGTAGAGAATAATAGTAAAACAAACTAATTGGTCATACCAGAAAGTATTGGGGAGCGCTATAGGAGGGAAAAGTGTTTTAAAGTGAACGTCAGCCTGATTTGTTCCGTCTGTGAACTTCGAGTGCAGCCTGTCCCAAAAGCTTTAGATGTACACTCCATGTTTAAGTAAACAGGTAGAGGGGAGGGGGATAGGAGGAGGTGTAGAGGGTGAGGGGTAGGAGGAGGGGAGGTAGAGAAGGGTAGATAGCGGGCGGATCATGGTTTTGCTCTGGTGGCTTTTCCGGCACTTTCCTCTGTTGCTGTACTGTACACCTGTCCTGTATTTACTTTGAGGAGGAGTAAAGCTCTATTACTGCAATATTGTGATTATTTGAGAATTGTAAATTGTACAGTTCACAGTTGTAGTAGTCATTCTCTTCTGTTGGGGGTCCATATAAATACTGATTTGTTATTTTTGTCCCTTTTGAGTGTGGAAAACATGTACAGCTCCAAAAGTTTATCCTTCCTTCTGAGCTATGATTAAGAGAATTCTTAAAGTGTAAATAAATATTATTGTGTTGAAATATGAATGTCACTTCAAAATGTATTTGAATGCGTTTGTCAAGGGCTTCATGACTGTGAGAGCCGCGCGTTTCTTTTACTGGTTTGGTATTTTACTTTGCAGAGCGTTAAGGTCCTTTTTATTAAGATGCCTCTGTTGTTGTTTTCTCGGATCATACGTGTGTGTCACCTGTACCTTTGGATCACTTTTTATTCCCTCCACTGCTAAAGGGAAACTCCAGTTTGCACCCTTTTTTATGTCAAATAAAAGATCTCTCCACCTTGCTCTGGTGTACTGGTGTTTTTTCTTCAACAGAAACATCACAGTGGATTGATTGATGACTGAGTGTAATGTGTAATGTAGTGAGTGAAATCTGTGGAAGTCCTAGTCTAAACAGCTGGACTAACACATGTTTAACATGTCACATATGTCCAACAGAACGTAGCCCGCTGTATAAGCTATTATTACTTAACTTCAGCTTTTAACCACTTATTCCATCCAAATGTAGTTCATATAATGTAAAGTCTCCCCTCTTCAACTCCCCCCTCCCCAATCACAAAGCCATCTGAAAGTATTCTACAGATGTATGTGTACGGGCCCATGGGTCAGGCACAAACACACACAAACGTCAACACTTTAATGCTCTTATTTTGACAGAACATTTAAAACTTGAGTGACTGCAGACACTAACAATATCAATGTCAAAATATTAGTTTAGTTTACATATGTAAAAAAAAAAAAAAAAATCTGCAAATTATATTTACCACTGAAACTAACTCAACGTAAACTCTGTTTAATATGTACAGCAACATACAAAACATAAGGAAGCTAAAAACATTCTTCTGTTAGAAATATCTACACTTTGCTACCCTCTGCTGGTCATTCAGCCCATTTATGAACAAATGAATGATTCACAGTGCTTTTAAAAAAGTCTGGTAATATTTATTCACCATTTATTTACCATCTGTTCTAAACATAATTAAGACCGTTGTAGAAAGAAAATAAAGTGCATAATCACCAGCTAATTAAATTGGGAAAACACGCAAGAGTGCATGAGTAACAGAGCTACATAAGCTTAAAACACAAACTTCTCCACGTGAGCCACTAGGCAGGTTAGTCATAGAGGAGTATATCTGGTGCTTTGATGTCTATAAAAGTCGGGTCGAGCCTGTGGTGGACCTGTGCTAGCGCCTCACTCAGCCTCTTCTTCATGAGCTCTCTGCAGGAGTACTGAGGCAGTTCTAGAGTGCTGAAGCACGTGTGGGACTGGGGGAAGTACTGGTCCTCACTCAGACCCTCCTCTCGCTGGGACAGGCCTTGGAATTTTATCTTTAAATCCACATGGAGAATGGGCAGCCTCTCAAAGCCAGTGATGAACCCTACAAAATAGTACAAGTATGAGAAACACAGTAGCATTCAGTAGCACAGTAGCACCTCATCACTAATTTAAAGGTCCTATATTACACGAAACTGATTTATTTGAGCTTTAAGCCACGTTAGAATGTTGTTACCTCCTCAGAACCAGACCTGGAGTTGTGTTTTGTTTCATTCACACAAGTCTGACAATTAAAACCATTCATTATTGGTTTGTTTACATCTCAAAAGCTCAAAATGCTCTGTTCCACCTTGTGATGTCATGTAGTGGTAGTTTTCAAGTTAACAGCTCCTTTTACTTTTTGTTCAGTAGAAATTGGAAATGCCGGGGCTGAGATTGTCCAAATGATTCTAATGATGAAGGTGTGTGGAGTTCAAAAACATAGTGGAGCTAAAACTAAATATACAGGACATGTGCTTTAAACGTGTGAATAAAACAAAACATAACTCCAGGTCTGTTTGTGCTGATAAGAACATAGATCAGAAAATAGTGTAATATGGACCTTTAAAATGGACAGATTTTAAATTTGGGGATTTTTTTTAAGTGATCTAGACAAACCCAAAATAATCCGTGTATCATTTGTTCATTAATTTTTCAAAATGAAACCAAAAAGAAAAACAAAAATCATTATTTGTCTCCAAAGCCAAAATGAAAAAACAGATAATGATTTGTTTTTTCAGTTTTCGATTTTGTGTTTAAATGAATAATGGAAAAAACAAATAACAGCCGTTTCCGGTTTAAGTGACTTAAACGTGATGCCGGACTGAACCAGAACTGAACCAGAACTGAACCAGGACTAAACCAGGACTAAACCAGGACTAAACTGGTCTCTGTCTTAGTTTGGTCCTGGTCTCGGTTCTGGTCTGGTCCCGGTTCTGGTCCCAGTCTCAGTCCTGATCCTGATCCCGGTCACAGTGTTGGCCTCAGTCCTGGTCTGGTTCCGGTCTCAGTCCTGATCACCCAACAGTCTACGTGGGTGCACCTCTGGGCTCTTCCCAACACTCCTGGTTCAGTCCTGGTTTAGACCTGGTTTAGACCTGGTTTAGTCCTGGTTTAGACCTGGTTCAGTCCTGGTTCAGTCCTGGTTTAGTCCTGGTTTAGACCTGGTTTAGTCCTGGTTTAGACCTGGTTTAGTCCTGGTTTAGACCTGGTTCAGTCCTGGTTTAGTCCTGGTTTAGACCTGGTTTAGTCCTGGGTTTAGACCCTGGTTCAGTCCTGGTTCAGTCCTGGTTTAGTCCTGGTTTAGTCCTGGTTTAGTCCTGGTTTAGTCCTGGTTTAGTCCTGGTTCAGTCCTGGTTTAGTCCTGGTTTAGTCCTGGTTTAGACATGGTTTAGTCCTGGTTTAGACATGGTTAAGTCCTGTTTTTGTCTTGGTTCAGTCCTGGTTCACTCCAGCATCGCAGTTCAAGTTACGGAAACGGTCGTTATCCGTTTTTTCCATTCTTCATTTAAGCCCAAAATCGAAAACTGAAAATATGACTCATTATCAGTTTTTTCATTTCATTTTTCATTTTCTTATTCTTGGTTTTATATTGAAAAACAAATAAACAAATGATGCATGGATTCAAAATGTATGACTGTTCTGTCTACACAAATTCCAATGGTGCTTGAGTGACAGGTGTTTTAACCAATCAGAGACACACATAGTCCATTTGTGTTAAAACAAACGGCGGCTTACAACTCACAAACAGAAGTACAAACAGAAAAAAATAACACAAGGGCCAGAGAAGCAGCGTTTCTTTCAGCATAATAAGTGAAGAACTAAACTCTGTAAATCTGAGAGTTTGAGAGATTTTTGAGAGAGAATTGTAACAACATAGGCTACATACAAAGAAGTGCTTTCCTCTCCTCTTCTGTGAGCTCATCGAAGACCTCCCAAAACATCTGGATGGTGGGATGGTGCTCTCGGTCCTTCTTATAGACCCCCTCATACACAGCACACTACACAAGAATACAGCAATAGAGACTTAAGAATCAGTGGTGGAATGTAACAAAATGCAAATAGTTAAGTGTTTTTTGTATACTTTTTACTTTTACTTCACTACATTTGAGAGCAGGTATCTGTACTTTCTACTCCACTACATTTTTTAACAGGAATGAAAAGTAAAAGGATTTTTTTTTATTATTGGGTCAGTCCATATGAAATCAGCGGTTTTCAAGGAATCTCCCCTATGAACCATCTCAGATTTGGCAGAAAATATTTCAAAAAAAATTCTAAAATGACCAAATGAAAGAATCTCAAATTTTAGCTCAATCCCTTCAGTCGTTCCTGAGTTATGGCCTGTTGAAATTTTGAGGCCATGCTCACTTTTTCGGAAGTCTTAATTTATAAGGATGTTTGAGAGACCATAACTTCATTAAAAATATTTACAGAACTCATGTAATTGTTTTTGATCATTTTGTAGAATTTTTGTTGTTCATCTTGTTGTGATTATCTTTGAACTCTGTTTTGTTTTTTTGCTTTTTTTTCCCCTCAAACTTGTTTTATTATATGTCAAACAGTCAAGTGTGAGTGAGTGTGTGTGAGTGTGCGTGAGTGTGTGTGAGTGTGTGTGTGTGTGGTTGTGTTGATTTTGTTGTTTTCATGCTTTTATGAATTTATATATCCTACTCTCTCCCTACTGTATCTCTCTTTTGTTGTATCTGTCTTTTGTTGTTGTGAGGACCCCCTCGAAAATGAGATGGCAAGACATCTCAAGGGGCTTATCCTGCAAATAAATAAATTCTAAATTCTAAATTCATAAAAAATAGAGCTAGGAAGCTGCAAATTTGGTCATAGATTTTTAGAGCTTACAAAGAAAAACTTCACATCCTTTATGTTTGTGTGAAGCCCACTCAAACATCTGGAGTGCAGTCCATATTTGATTGCTGTCAGTTGTCTGAAGACTGGAGAATTTTACTGTGCCACCAAAACCATCACAAACAATGCACCACAAATAATCTCCAACTGTCTTCCCTTATAACAAGCAAATAGTGTTTAAGTCTATTAAAGATACCTTTCTAGCAGGTGGAAAAGTACCTAAGCTCCACCAAAAAATTGGATTGGACTGGACATTACTGCCTCTCTGGTTGGTTGTACACACCTGCTTGAGCTTAGTCCAGTCAGTGCACTCCTGTCCCACCATCAGGTCCCTTAGTTCCTCTGGGCTGAAGAGCGAAACTATGTGGCGGTTGATGGTCCTGTAGAAGCCTCGCCTGAACTCCTCAAACTGGCTGTGCACGGAGCTGGTGAACACGTGCTTTATGAAGGCTGCCACAAACTCCTCCCTGCTCAACACACACACATATGTTAAGAGTTTTAGACTATTGTAAAGCTCGCCCATATTACACTATTCCCTGATCTCTGTTCTAATGTTGTATCCTCATCAAAAACACACCTGGAGTTGTGTTTTGTCTCATTCACACATGTTTAACAGAAAACATTCCACTGTCCCACCTTGTGATGTCATGTGTTTAATACAGGAAGTGCTTCACTGTGTTTTTAAACTCCATACACCTTCACTAGAATCTTTTCATTCATTTCTGCCCTAGAATTGCCAATTTCTTTGGAACTAAAGGTAAAAGGAGCTGTTAACTTTAAAACTACAGCTTCGTAACATCAGAATTTTGAGAATTTTGAGCTTTGGAGTTGTTGACAGGCTAATAATAAAGTTAAAGTGACCAGATGTCCCTATTTACCCGGGACAGTCCCAGTTTTGAGCCCTGTGTCCCCTGTCCCAGCAGATTCATTCAAAACCAGTGATTTTTCCCAGTTTTATACAAGAAATGTTCCAAAATGTCTCTTAAAATTCATATAAATTGCAAAACTCTAAGCTATATTTGGTACTTTGGTTTACAGACTTGAAATGACTTGAAGCTCAAAGCAGATGACTTGGACTTGACTTGGACTTGCCCGTATTTGACTTGGAACTTGACTTGGACTTGAGGTCAAAGGCTTGATACTTACTTGAGACTTACAAAAGCAAAACGACTTGGTTCCACCTCTGGTAACTACCTAAACTAACCTAAATGTGTGTTTCGGTTGTGTGTGTGTAACTGTGAGCAGCCTTCATACTTGTTATGTCCGGTCACTGGGCGGTCAGGGCTCTGTGGATCCAGGGCCACCTCCATTTGGTCCCAGTAGATCTGAAACACAACAGAAACATGTAGGCGCCTTATATACCTCCTACCACTGTGAGGCATTGTGGTTCACTCTGTCAGTATGTGCCTTAAAACTGTAATATATTACAGTTTAGTTTAGTTTATTTGACTTATTTAGTGTCATGCACCATTTAGTTGGTGCCCAGCGCACGTCAGCTTATAAGACACATAAAACTAAATAAGCAGAGAGATCACACATGAAACATAAAAGTGTCCTCTTAGGAAGGTCCCAGGCTTTCAACACAAACTGAGCCAACTTGAAAACATTACATTTAAACAAATTCTCCAGTCTCTCCTCATCAGACACAGCAAACCAACAGTAAGATACATTAGACAATAACTGACAGCACAGGTCATGATACAAAGGACAGTAGAACAGAAAGTGCATTTCATTTTCAATATCCTTTAAATAACACAGAGCACATGTGCACTCCTCCTCTGGGACTGAATGGAAGCGTCCCATCTCCACGGCCAAGACAGAGTCCCACACCTCAACTGGGCACATACTGACCTCTGACCTCTGCTCAGGTTCAAGGGTGACAAACGCCTCAGGACCAAAACAGTCTTTAATTAAAATATATGTTCTTAATTTTGGTTTACATAAAATTTAATTGTGCCATTTCTGTTTATACTTGTCAAAGTGAACATTCCTAGTTTGTCTGACACTACAGATTAACTTATTTCTATAAATAAACTGGAGATCTGCATCCTCAAAAATTTTCTCAACCTCTCTACTCCAGGACAATTTATTATGTAACAGACTCCTGTTAAATACATGTTTGGTTAATCTTGTGTCTGGCATATTAACCATATTAAATGTAGTTAATATGATTAACTGAGATTCAGGAGCAGGATCACGCCTCAGCCGTCCTCTCCTCTCACCAGCCAACCACAACTCACCTCGACCACGCCTCTAATTTCCCAGAAGCCTATATGTAGCAGCCTTTCCCATCATCCCAGGTTGTCTCGGCGAACTCAACCCCACCCTCCCATCCCCTATTTTGTCTTTCAGTCATAAGACAAGGAGGGTCCCGATCCGACTGGGCCAATTGAAGATTAAGACGGAGCCCCCACCTAGAGTGTCAACCCAGCCATCTCTGCCTCGCTTCATACATTATCAATAAACTTCTTTGCACTATGTAGTTGTTGGTGTGGTCCTAGCTAGTGAACTGCACCATATCACAAACGTGTCTCACTTCACATCACTCATTACAATAATATCCACCTAACCCTGACTGTAACATGTTTTAAGCAAAAGACCAGCTACACAGTGGTTAAGCTGTGTATTTCCTCATGCCTGTATCTTATGTCAGTGTCATCCATTCACAATTATTCTGCCTTCGATGTTGGGGCTGTCACATCAGACTCTATTCACGCCTACATCACAAACCAGGAAGATGTTTGGAAACATGCGATGACAACTTCCGGTGGGCTCTGTTCACGGTAGGGTCATTCCACCATCTTAGATTTGACTGAAAAATTCTAGGAGGATCACACACTTTTCAATAGGAAAAAAATGTATCTCCCAACTCCTTATACTTTCGTCATTAAAAATATTTTGTCTCTCCCCTGACCTGTTTTGAGCAGAGTTGTCTAAGGAGCCACTTTCAGATTGCTGTATGTAAAGGAGTTGGGAGCTAAAATCTGAGTCTTTTCCTATAGGAAAGTGTGTGAACCTCTGAGAATTTTTTCAGTCAAATCTGAGATGATCAGGCAGGGGCATTTGGAGATTTGGCATGGAATGACCCGGTAGTAAGTCTGACAAAATCTACAAAATTCATGCTACTAACACAAAAATCCTAAAGCATGATTATCTCCCAAAAATGTAAATGTAAATTGAACAATATAGATCCAACATGCATTGAACGATGTTACCTGCAAGCCTTTGTGTGTGTGTATGGTACTGCTGTCTCGTCTGCCCTGTCTGTTCAGGTGCTTTGGGCAGGACCTGACTGTAGCTGATTGGCCATTCAGCAGCCAATCAGGTTGGAGAGGACAATTTAAAAAGAGCTGTGTGGTCCTGTTCTTTCTCTCTCTCGTTCTGTAATGCTGCTGCCTCTGCTAGCCAGGTATTGTTTGGTTGGGAGGCTGGTTAGGTAAGTTGGGGATCCCTGTATAACTTGCACCATGTAGTTTTTCTTTGTTAGACATACTAGTTTATCAGATGTTGCCACTCTTGTTGTTTTGAAGTATCCAAGTTCTCTTTTTAGTCTAGGCTTTTTTGGTTTCTTTACTTTTGTAGCCTAGTTTTCAGTTAGGCCCTGTTTTGTTATATTTTCAGTTATTTTATTGGGCACAACTGGCAGACTCCTCCTCCCACTAACCTTTTGTTTGTTTCTTGCATACGTATTAATGAATGTTCAGCCTCAAAAATAAAACTCGCCAAACCTACTTTGCCTCACTGATTTTTTTCATAACGGTTGCGTCCCTTGTTTGATATAGGGGATATAACAAATGATAAGTTGAGTAATTATCCTGACAGAGCAAACTTTGGGTAAATTTTTAACCCACTGCACAACTGTCACCGGGGCCTTTTTTACAACAGAAAAACCCACCGTGAAGCCCATGTCCAGACTCTGTATGACGTCATCACTGTACTCCTCCAGCAGACACCTCAGGCTCCTACAACACAGTCAACGGGGAATATTTATATTTATGTAAATGGAACTGGGTAGAGTAGACAAAAATTTTACTCAGGTAATGTTACTTCAAATTATATGACTCAAACAGAAGTGTAAAGTAGTGGTCCAAGTAAGAATTAATAAGTAATAATTAAAACTAACACAAGTAAGAGTAACTTAAAGAGTAATTGGGAATTGGGAAGTAGGATCAGATTTTTATTTGAAGGACTAAACATTAAATAATAAACTAAATTATATCTGAAGGAGCGTTGCAAGAAACACAAATGTTCAGACCATTTCATATTGTCAACATAAAGTTTTTGTCACTTGTAGATTTACTCACAGTGGGAAGGGGAACCACAACTTTTACTCAAGTAAGAGTACTGTTATTTCAATAAAAATAATACTCAAGTAGGAGTAAAAGTTTGCTGTTAGGAAAGTATTCTGAAAACTACAATATCTTTCAAAAGTACTACCCACCTCTGTGTGTGAAAAATGAACATAGTACTTAGTAAGAGGTGTGCGTACTGTCCGGTGCAGGGGCTGAGCTGGCACAGGTCGTCCAGAGAGGGCGCCACCCCCAGCAGCTTTTTAAACAGAGCCAGAGGAAGGGAAGGAACAGCACGTGCTGGTGGTACAGAGCCAGCCCGCACAGCTCTCCGAACAGGAAGTAGTGCTCCAGCGGGGGCTTGGCCTACCGAACAGGCGAGGGTTACTGTCCCTCATCAAAACATACCTGGAGTTTTGTTTTATTCACTACAGGTCATCTCTGCTGCTGCCTGTCTCTGATTCAACTACCTCCTCCTAATCCACCTGACTCCTCCAACTCTAGAAACCCAGACCGATCAAATAAGAAACATGGAAACTATGTGTGAGCAATTAGTAGTAGAGCTGAACTTCTTGAGACACTTCTTGAGATTAGCTTTACCATTTAGCCATATTGCACAGGACAGTTGTAGTGTTAAATGGCCTTGCTTGGCGAGTCAGTCATTCCTACTTTCTGTTTGAATGCAAGAGTGTGTGGAGCACTAGAGTTACACAACTGTTCTTATTTGGAACAGTCCAATAACAGCTGCTAAATTGTATGTCATGTGTCAAATGCAGGAGACATCTACTCTGAATATTCTGGAGTCATTCTAATAGAAATCCATGCTGCTTCTCTGTCCTCTGAGTGGTTAATCCCTCTGTAAGTCAAGGCCTTCGGAAATTGTGAAGATACAGCTCCAGACCCACTTGTTGACCACTACACCAGTGAGAACTGTTCCAAACCTCCTTGTCAAAATGTGATCTCATCAGCTCTCAGAAGCCAAGCAGGGCTGGGCTTGGTTAATACATGAATGGGAGACCACTGGGAATTCCAGGTACCATAGTGGGGCATGTTGTGTCCTTAGGCAAGGCACTTCACCCACAGTGCCTAGTACGAATGTGGTGTTTGAGTGTTGGTGGTGGTCAGAGGGGCTGATGGCGCAGATGGCACATCCTCACTATTGTCAGTCTGACCCAGGGCAGCTGTGGCTACAATAGTATCTTACCACCACTGAGAGCCATGAAGAATGCACCATGCATGTGTGTTGGGTGTCTTAAATACCCAACACTATTATTGTGCACTATTATTATTGTTTGGTCCACCTTTTCTTTCATAAATAAATCCTTCAACATATTTCTGACTAAATCCAATGGAGAGGATTGAACAGCTCACATAATGACACTATATATGCCAAGCTTTGTTTATAAAGACATAAACAGATGTGTCACATGTTGAGACTCACTGTGGAGGAGAACCAGGCCAGTGTGGCAGACTCGTTAAACATGAACATCTCAGACTCTGCAGACACCAGCTCATGGAAGAGCAGGTGGAAGAAGTCCTTTTGGTTTACGTTGTCTTCTATGTCCACGTCATTGAAATAAACCTAAACACAAACTCAGTCACTCTATACAAGTCTGTAGGAAGTATAGGTTTTAGATCATAATATTAAGATCTCAATAAGTCATGGCACTGCATTAGAGTTTAAAGGGTTTAAAGTTTAAATAATGTTGTTTCCTCATCACAAACTGACCTGGACTTGTGTTTTGTTTCATTCACACATGTTTAACACACAAACCCTACATATTTATGCGGAGTCCTTTGTGATGTCATGTGATAATAAAGCCCTGGAATTGTAGACCTCAGATGAACTGAAGGTAAAACATAGCTGTTAACTTGAAACTACCTAATTACTACCTACTAGATGACATCACAAGGTGGAAGAGAGCATTCTGAACTTTGTAGACAGACTAATAATAAAGGATTACTCAAAGGTGTGAATGAAACAAAACAGAACTCCAGGTCTGTTTCTGAAGAAGTAACAACATTCTAATATGGTTTAAAACTCACAAGAGTCAATTCTGTAATATAGAACCTTTAAGATAAGATAATAGGCTACATTTTAGATTTGTAGATTTACCACAGCATATTCACGTGTAAATAAATGCTATGAACTGTTAGTATTGCACCATGTCTTTACCTGCAGAGGTTTCCTGAGGTCTGTGGTCTCGGTGAGGGACAGCTGTGTGAACGTGTCCTCCATGACACGCTCTCGTCTCAGCCTTAGAGTGAAGTTCTGCTCAATGAACAAGCCAGAAAACATCATCTCCAGACACTCCTCCTCACAAGTCCACCCCAGAGAGCTTTTCTCCTGCACATATATCATTAAAGAAGGGGTATTACACTTCTGTAGGGTATTCTTATTGTTTTGAAAAAGCTATATTAGCTGAAAACAATGTATTAACATATTGCACAAAATGACATAACCAGTGTTGGTCAGATTATAGTCAAGACTAATATATACATACAGCTCAGAAACCAATTTATAAAAAGCAAGAATTCTTCACACATTTTCTGTTATAGAACCTCATTTCCCACAGAGGTAACAGGCACACTCCACAATCCAGTATGTGTGTTCTGATCGATTTCAGAACCAGAACAGAGAGGACATCCTGTTCTGCTGTTTATCTTTTTTTACTGTTTTATGACACACTTCTATGGATTACACACATTTTTGGCAGATAAAAAGTAACTAAAAATTACTAGGCCAAGTAACTGTAATCAAAATATTCAATTTTCAATTGTAACTAGGTAGATTGCTACATTACTAGGAAAGTAATCTGATTACAGTAATCCCTTACTTTGTCACTATGGTAATTACTGCCCAACACTGGCACTAACCGTGGCTGTGGTTACAAGTGCACTCAAAATCAGGTATTGCAGTTTACATGTCATTTATGGAATTTTACAGGTCCAGAAATCAGATTATAATCAGATTTCGGTGTGCATGTGAAGGTCAAACTGGACATGTCATTACCATGAGGTACTTGTTGCTCAGGCTTAATGCGTTGTGCCTCGTTGGAAGGTCCATTAAAAAGGGGAAGCTACAGAGAATAGGCTCTTCACCAAACTTAATCTGAAAAAGAATAAAAGAAAGGTTTTATTTTTTTTTAAAAGAGCTAGAATTGTTGTTCACTTCTCATTTACCCTCTAGAGCAGGGGTCTCCAACCTTTTTCCTCTGGTGAGCTACGTTTATGAAACGAAAATGCCAGAGAGTTACTAATTTTAGCGGTCGCAAGAACTTGAGAAATTAGAAGAACTATACAGGTTGGACACCCCTGCTCTAGAGGATACTCAAATACGTGTGAGCTTTAAACGGGCAACAGTTAGATGCCAGTTAAACATAAACCATTATCCATTTATTAGTGTACAATTTAGGAATCAAAATGCTACATTTACAATGGTAATTAATCAGATTTTAGTTCATAAGCGCAGTACATATAATTCAGAAATCCTTTGGCGAGCTACTTGGAAGGGGTGGAGAGCTGCTGGTACCTCCCGAGCTACAGGTTGGACACCCCTGCTCTAGAGGATACTCAAATACGTGTGAATGAAACTAAACACAACTCCAAGTATGCTTTTTGTAACTACAATCTAACATGGCTTCAAGCTCACAAGAGTCAATTTTGCATAATATGGAGCCTTTAAAAAGTACTTACAGAGATTATTGTTATTACTTACCCTGAGTGTTGGCTCTAGTTTCCATGTCACCATGTCTATCACGAAATTAAAAGGTACTGGTATGTTGAACTCGCTGTCTGGAAATCTGTCTGAGCCTAGAGCCTTGTTCTTCTGCAAAATGAAAAAGTTAGAATAAAGTATTCACTTCCAAATATGTGTGCGTGCGTGCATGCGTGTGTGTGTGTGTGTGTCAGATACGCACATTGTACATGAGCTGGAGAACCTGCAGCACACTTCTGCAGGCACTGAGTGAGGAGACATGAGGAGCAGTGACTCTCCACACACACACATGTCTCAGCCTGATGGAGGAGGGCAGAGCAGACCACCACTCGCCTGTGAGCACACACACACACTCTCACTTCTCTTTTCTATGATATTACAGGGGTCAGCAAACGTTTGGGCTTCAAGTGCCACTTTGAAAAGGTCAGATCTTCTGCTCAGTTATTAAAAAGCTACCTGCAGTTCTTGCAGATGTTGTACTTATAAATGTTCCTTAATTCATGCCATTCAAAATGTTGCCAAACTACCAAACATTTGCAGAATATGCAAATGTTTTTATTTTATAAGATCACTCGGTTGCTGTTAACGGTACACTGACGACACGCACCACTGAAACACTAAACAGTTTCACTGCAGTTTTCATAGTCATAACTAGTCATAACTACATCATATTTGGGGGAAGCAGAAGGAGAGAGACTGGATGAGCGTGCACAGTAGCACTACACAAGCTGCTGTTAGTCATCTCTGCTCTGAGCCGCCGTAGAGTGTAGGGTGCATGTGGGTGCATGTGGGTGCACAGCAGTTATGATGCATCATTAAGCGCGGTCAGATATTAGATTTTTTCTGATCATTTTACTTTGCGTGTGCCTCAAAATTCCTCTGTGCCTGGGTTTGCCAACCCCTGTTATAGAATAATGGATGTGATGACGAGTACCTAGCACTTGGATGCTCTCTTTTGGCAGGCAGAGTATAGCTGTGGCCAGGGCCTCCACCAGTGCGGTCCTGCTGTGAAGTCTCTCTGTTGTGGGGAGCTGGTAGAGCACATGGAGCAGCTCCGTCAGCAGCAGATAGACCCTCAGACACTCCACCCCCACTGGGCAGGGGCTCAGAGACCGGAGCAGGAGCTCACACGCCCTCTTCACCTGCACACAACACAAAACACTGGAAGATAATAATGGTCAGGAGAGGTGGACTTATGCTGGCTCACTCTCTCTATGTACACATAGCTCCCCCAAATGCTCCTTTACACTTCTCCAGAAGTGAGATGATCTCCTGATCTGGACCAGGACAGTCGGAGGACCCACCTGCAGCACCAGAAAGGCCCAAACATAATGTCCAGAAGTTCCTCTGGATTTAGGTCAGAAGAACATGGGACCTGTGTTCTTAGTTTTCAGCACATAAAGCTGGACTACATCTGCAGGGTCTAGATTTCACCACCAGTGGTGAGACTCAGCCCAAGTGAATACCAAACTATGAGAAAACTGTAAAATGGTTGTTGTGCTTCTGTTGTCATAGTCCAGAATGCAGAATGAATCTCACATGAGCTTCAAATGTGGGTTGCCAGATTCTAAATCCAGTTGGTTAAAAGGTCTATTCTGGAGGTTCTGAGCTTTCACATGAGGCATGGTCTGTCCACATACTGAGAAAAACTTGTATGTGTCCCCTATCTGTGGTTCTGTCGATGAGTATAGATTCAGCCTACCTCCTTCATCACTTTGGGCTGATTCAGAAGTTTGGAGAAGGAGCTGCGAGCAGCAGACAGGTCCAGACCACAGCGAGTTGTCGATGTCTCAAAGTGCCTTCAGTCAGAACACAGACGGTCATGTAGCAGCGCATGTCCAGGACGTGGTGTTGTGAGAAATTAAGGTGAGTGTTACCTGTGCTCCAGAAAGCTTTGATTCAGACGTGAGGCAGAACAAAAGGTCCGGGTGATCTCTCCTGTTTGGATTGAAGCACAAACTTTAGGACCTTCTTCTTATACATTGCAGCTGATGTCATCAAAATGAACTGTAGGCACTACTCTGTCTGAAGCTATACTACACTTTAATCTGAGCTTTATTTTAATGAAATCTGACCAGGAAGAGATTATTTAGTTGAAACTACAACTGAAGTCTCACACACATAAAATTACAGACACAAGCTAGCTAGCATTAGCCAACACGTTTAAAGTTTTTGTCTCAAATCAAACACCTAAATAGAATCATGAATGCTTGCTTGATCACAAGCTCCTGAAAATGATGTCACTGCAGAGTATCAGCAGGTACACAGCACAACTGAGATCTTACATTCCACATACCGTTTGGTCTTCTCCCACGACTGTGTGTCAGAGGTCCACTTGGTGAGCAGATCAGAGAGAGGAGGAGGGGATGTACCCTCAGACTGGTGCTCCCTCTCCTGCATAAACAAACACACAGACCCACCCATGAGTGAGTGTCCAGTCTGAGCACCACCCAGCTCCACGGGTCAGGGTCAGGGTCAGGGTCATACCTGGAGAGAGCAGGCGGCGTAGGAGCACTGTCCTCCAGCAAAGACCTGTCTGATGCTCTTACCCTCTGTGAGCT